CACAGCGATCACTCACTTCCTCAAGATGTTGGAGGTGCAATACTCCATTAAGGTCAAAGTGTTTGAGTGCGATAATGAGATAACAGAAATACATCCGCAAGTCGCTGAGCTGCTGACCGCTCGGGGAATACGCGCCGAGCCTTCGGCCCCGAATACTCAAGCACAAAACGGGGGGGCAGAACGCATCGCTGCAGTCATCATACTGAAAAGCCGCGCAATGCGTGCAGGAGCTAAGTTGCCTGAATATCTGTGGCCGGAATCGATCAAAGCTGCTACCTACCTTTATAATCGTACACCCTCAATTCACAGAAACAGAAAGACTCCGTACGAGTTGTTCCATCGCCAATTCCGCGGCGACCACTCAGCGAAGCCCGACCTCTCACACCTTCGAGCATACGGCTGCAAGGTCTTTGCATTGACTGCAGATGCACAATTGCGAAGAAACCGGCTTCAAAGGCAGGCTCCGAGGGCGTGGATCGGCTTCCTAGTGGGCTATACGTCAAGCAACTCATTCAGAGTCTGGAACCCCTTGCATAAGGAAGTCTTTACAACAAGAGACGTCTCATTCAACGAGCAGCAACTGTTCGACGGACGGACAGAGAGTCTTCGAGACGATTTAAGGCAACAGAACCTCGAAGCTATCCGACAACGCATCGAAGAACTTGTAGCGATACAAGCACAAGCTGAGCAGTGGCTATCACAGCCACCTGATGAAGAAGCAGATGAAGTAATAGGGGAAGACAACGATGACCTGTTTGGAGAACACTCGCCGAGTAATTGCGAGGCTGTTGGCAAAGTGCCCGAATCTGAAGGGGCATATGAATACACCACAGCTAAGTTTGAACCTCTCCCAACACCTCCCCTATCACCGCCAGCCGCGTTTTTCCACACCTTGGCCTCTGGTCTAGGTGTGAAGGGGCGTGGGGAAGCGGCCAAGCACGAGTTGGAAGCGGGTACGCAATATGCTCCGAATAAAAACAAGGAGAGCTCCGCATACCAACTCGCAAATCGACAAAGTGAGGCTCGGAAGGTCCAAAGTGATCTCGCCGATCGACCAGCGAAGCAGCGTGAGTCTTTCAAGGCTGCGTTTCTAGCTGGGAGACTCCAGTCGCCCAAGCATCGCACGAGTAACCGCAGAGTGTTCGGCGAAGGCCTGGCCAGCCCTAGGCGAGCACTCGGCGGGGGAAGACAAGTCTGCCCTCAGATCACGAAGGATATAGGTGCGCAAAAACCTCCGAGATTAGAGAGCCCTGCGTCAGCAGTGGCACAAAAACCTCTACAGATGGAGAGCCCTGTATCTGGGGGGGAAAGGCCGCCATGCGTAAATACACCGTGGCGTCTGTTGCAGACCCTTCCCAGCTCGCACGCGACTATAGCAAGCCATCCCTACCGGGAGGCTCTTCTTGAAGCAGAAAGAATACATTTACAAAGTCATGCAGATTCCCAATCGTGGATCGAAGTCGCAAAAGCCTCGGCTAAAGGCCGACGAGTGCTCGGCTGCCACTGGGTCTACGTCTATAAACTTGACAAACACGGCAGATTCGTGAAGATAAAAGCGCGCCTCGTTATACGCGGCGACCAGCAAGCGATCGATGGCCGAGAGACCTACGCAGCAACTTTGGCGGGCATGTCATTCAGAACCCTCATGGCCCTAGCCAACCGATTCGACTACGATATGTTGCAATACGATGCAGTCAATGCATTTGTACATGCAAAGCTGGATGAGGATATTTATATGCAAATGCCTGCGGGATACAGGAAGCCAGGAAGGATTCTGAAGCTACAGAAAGCTCTCTATGGTCTTCGGCGATCACCACTGCTGTGGCAAAAGCACTTCGAAAAGGGCTTGCTGCAAGCAGGCTTTCGCCGAGTGCCTGGCGAGGACTGCTGTTGGCTTCATGGAGATATCATCTTCTTCTTCTACGTGGATGACTGTGTTCTCTGTTTCCCTAAGCGCATCAAGAGCAAGGCAATGTCGCTGATGGCAGAACTACAGACAACGTACAATATTGAAGGAGGCAAGCCACTTCAATGGTTCCTAGGGATCGAGGTCATCCGGGATCGCAGAGCAAGAAAGCTGTGGTTGTCACAGGCTGTTTATATCGATAAAATGCGCCGCCTGCTCCCCGAAGACTCGCCGAACCTGACGACGGTAACCCCCATGATTCGCGAAGAACTTCTGCCACATGACACAATAGCGAGCCCCAGCAGCGTCAACCTATACCTCAGGAAGGTCGGCACGATCATGTACGCGGCAGTGATGACTCGACCAGACATAGCTTTTGCTGCAAGCCGACTAGCTAGGTTCAACCAGAACCCCGGACCGCAGCAACAAAGAGCCGCCGACAGAGCCCTGCAATACCTCATACAAACAAAGGGTCTCTGCCTTGAATACGGAGCTGCGGCCGGCAGTGAAGAAGACGGACTGCAAGTTGCCTCAGATGCTAGCTTCGCCGATAACTCAACGGATCGTCGGAGTTCTCAGGCATTCGTCATGAAGCTCTTCGGCGGGATCACTTCCTGGAGAGCCAACAAACAGGATACAGTTACAACGTCAACAACAGAGGCAGAGCTCCTGGCGCTTTCCCAAGCAGCCAAGGAAGCTCTCTTTGCAAGCCGACTTATCTCTGCATTGAAGGTTGACCTGAACTCTCCGACTGCTCGCCGAGCAGCAGCAACACCAGCAAGGATCACAATCGAATGCGACAATAAGCAGACTATCCGCCTTGTCACTGCAGAACTAGTACAACTACGCACGAAGCTCAAGCATGTTGACATTCACAACCATTGGCTACGCCAAGAAATCATCGAAGAAAGAGTTAATGTCATCTACACGCCTACTACCCGAATGCTCGCCGACGGATTAACGAAGAACCTCTCAGGAGACGGCCACTCGGGCTTCCTCAAGCAACTGAAGCTGATCGACTTGACGGATAAGATTGAACAGAGAAGAACTGAGGAAAGGGCACAGGAGCTATGAAGCAAAGTGCAGCTCCGCGGCAGGACCGCGAAGCTGAAGGGGCGTGTTAGAATAGATCGTGCGCACAGTCATGCACATGATCAGGTGACCTCGGTCACTTGAGTGACCATGCCGAGCACAGCCCGAATAGGAAGGCGGTCAACTGCGCATATAATACCCCTGACTGCTGCGGGTCAGCCTAGATGACAATATGCACAATACACATACATGTGGGCTCTCAATGACTAAGATGCTATGCATGCTGCCTAAATCCAACATGAATAGCTTCCTGCGGAAGCTCCTTCCAAGCTGCTTTCCAAGCTTTGACTGCCTCATGCCTTGACTTTGGGGCTCCTTTCCTTGTAGTCCGTCTCTTTATCCATGGCCAAGCCGGCTCAATAGGATTGAGGTCCGGGGAATTCCCACACCATAGCAGCCGGCTGATGCTATTCGCATCATAACATTGTTGCTGTATATAGTGGCTGTGAGCAGGAGCCTTATCTTCTTGGACCAAAGTGCCCGGGCGGTCCTTGGTACATTCCAAAGCAAAAGGAAACATCTTAGGGATCAGGATTGTCTTCTGATAGCGATACCAGTCAATACCGCCCTTGGACCCTCTCGTCAGCTTTCCGGACTTCTTATTCCATCGCCAGATTGGCTTCGGGCCGGGTAGTTGATGTAGATGTAATCGTCGTATTCCATTTGAAATTTCCCACTCTTCTCGCATAACAGCTTCAAGATCCTCATTCATTTTATTAATGATTTTTTCGGCTTCCTTCTTTTCGGCAGCAGTCTCTGGACCCCAACAGTGGCAGGGGCCCTTCTTATCATAGGAAAAGGCGCCCCAGAACATAAATTCAGATGCATCTTTCCATCGCTCCCGGATACAACTTCGAACAAATGCCTCATCGGCTTTTCGCCATACGCGATAGCTTCCTCGTCGATGGAGCAGGATAACAGAGGTCTCGTCAGACCAAATGACATTCTTCCAGTCCTCTAGGGTCCAGTGCTGGTGTTCAAGACACCAAGCCAGACGTGCCTCCCTCATCTTCTTCGTCAATCCAGGTTTCCTCGTTGGCTTTGTCTTTCGGAATCCAGCTTTCTTCAGTATTCGCCATACAGTGACGGCCGAGATCTCGATCCCATCGCTGCTCAGTTCGCCCGCAATATCAGCACACGTCTTTTCCCTGCCAAATCGATCGCGGCGAACCTTGGCGATGATCTCTATTCGTGCCTCGTCCGTCTGCTTCTTGGGACGCCCGGAGCGGTGCGCATCACGAAGGAATTCGTCATGGAGGGTCATCGGTCGGTGGTTGGGATCGAATCCGCGGGAAATAGCGCGTGCGTAGATGTCATTGATTGTACGGGGCGAAAGACCTGTTATCTCTGCAACTTCAGCTGTTGTTTTCCCGCCCGATGGGCTCTTGAAGACGACCACAAGAGCCCGGGTTGCAATATCGGTATTTTGACGCATTTTGGCGGTCAAGATGAGGGGAAAACAGGAAAAGTGAAAGAGGGGTGAGGTACCTAAGAATTTGGCTGGGTACATTCGCTTTCGGCACGATCCCTGTTTGTGGCTGACCTTAGCGTCCACGCGAGCAGAGACTTTTGAAAGGCTCCTCTGTAGAGAAGGCTGTGTGCCCTTACAATCCCCACCCAAAAGGGTGGGGGTGGGGAGGAGGTCCTGGGGATGAGGCCCTCAGTGCACTGCAATTTTAGCCCTAAGAGGGCACCTTTGCACCCACATTCCAACGGAAACTTGGCAGCGCTGTGTCAGGCTTGTGCTGGCGCCCCCGCCGGGTTTAGCGGCGCCATGCCCGAAAGGGCGTGCCCATATTCCAGCCACCAGCAGATCGGACCATCTTAGTCATACGGTCTCAACATGCACACCCTAAGGGAGGAGAGCAGACAATGCAAAAAATGCAAAGCGAGAACGGGTCAACAATGCAGTCGCGGAAGAGGGTCGGGCTCAACACATATCACAGATTGGGATGATAATCCCAACCGCAGGAAAGACACAATTTTTCAAGGAAACGGTGAACTGGAAGGGAGTAGGGCTGAGAACGGCATAACGCGGTGCTCCAATGTGGACTAGCATAAGTTTCTTTTATTTATGACTGTGGCGCGTCGATGTGGAGCGGCGATTGTGGTGAAGGCAGCTCGCACGGACCGTTTGGTGGCCCGAGCTTACTAAGGTGGGCGCGGAAGAGAGCACGGAAGAAAGGTTTGCACGTCGCTCCTGTTGGGAAACTCGATCCAGATATCCTGGGGCGCTGATGAGATAGGCGAATCGGAAAGGGAAGGTCGGCGTCATGGTTAGCGGTGTGTTGACGAAACACAACGTAGAAGTGTTGCCAATATTCGGTTCCAAGCCCAATGAAGCTGTGTCGCGACCGACTTGCCGCCCACCAAACGTGGCAGTACGAACTTGGACCCAGCTGGATTAGAGAGACGAACAGAAGGAAAAGCCTTCCGCGTTTTCGATCCTTCAGACAGAGCCAGGGCCGGAAAAGGTGGTAGGCGGGCAGCTCGATTGTGGCGCATGGGCTGTGGCTTAGAGGGGCGCATGAGTTTGGGTTGTGGCTTGACGTGGCTTGACGTGGCTTGACGTGGCTTGGAAATCCTGATGGAGGGCACGGCGATCGTGTTGGAGGCTGTGTCCAAACCTTTCGGAAAACGAGGCTGAGAAACGAGGCTGAGAAAGTGGCGCGGCGAGTGGCGCGGCGATTGTGGTGCAGCTCGAGGCTGAGAGAAGTGGCGCGGCGATTTGTGGTGCAGCTCGCACGGACCGCTTGGTGGACCGAGTTTACGAAGGAGGGCGCGGAAGAAAGAACAGGAGACCGGTCCCTGCGGGCCCGCCAACAGACCTTTCGGAACGAGTCTTTCAGATCGTGAGATGGATGAAGCTCTACGATGACGAAACGGGCATCGTGTCTGGGGTAGAGAACAGCACAGATCGTCTAGTTGCCCGAGCGTTTGGAGGATTGACCTGGGTGTTTGGGATGCAGCGCACGGACCTTGCATCCGTCCTTATGACCACAGATTGATCGTTTTGAATTCAGCAACCTTCATTCAACGTCGAGGATTCCTTAAGAAACTTGCGCATCAATTGCACGCCTCTCCATGGCGCCTATTGATTATTCAAATGGGAGAACATAGATACCGATTCCGAGCCAGAAGCCTCGCAGCAGCAGGCGCCCATGGTGAAAGCAAGCCGATCACTTGATCCAGTCGTCCCGGGGTCGGCTGCGTCACCCTTAACGACGGCACAGAGCGCGTCAGGGTCTATCCAAGCCGTCAGTGCGGTGTGAGGTTGAGAAACGCAAATTTCCGCCTTGGTCTACCATCAGGATCACCGAAGATCACCCTGTCTTCTCGCGGCCTGTGCCTGACGTCCCAAGGCTCATTGAGGTTCCGGTGGTCCTGTACCGGGTAGGCACTCAGTCCAGCAACCAGGCCGACCTTGACAATCAGATTGCCACGTACCTCAACATCGATGCCGATTCCGGGTTTGCGCTCCCGGAGTGGCAGTCACATGTCGGCACTATTGTCGTCGCACGTAAGGACAGGAAGTCGCTGCTGCCGCAGCATCTTGAGGGCGTGTGGATGTACTGCGATCGCATTCTGGACCTCTTTGGTGAGGGTGAAGGCGCGCCGCGAATGCTGTACAGCCAAAAGGCCTTTGAAGATTGGTGGACGGGTTATTGCGAGGAACAGAAGCAGTTCCGGCTGGGGAAGGGAGGCGAAGAGGATGCGGATGACTGGCGGGCAGTAAGGTCACCTTATGATATGTAAGAGGGTCGTGTATCGTTGTTGGAGTGATTTCAGATTTCAGCATTGGCCGGGGTGGGGCAATTCTCGGAGTGATATTGCCTATTTCTGACGATTCTGGCCTCGTAGTGCCGTTTTGTTTCTGCGGCCAGCTTCGTGAGTCTCTGCATGGCCTGAACGATGGTGTGATCTAGTTTATTTCCGATGAAGTCATGGTGTCGTACAGGACTGAGAAGTTCAATGCCTTGAAGTGTCGTGCACCTGGATAGCTGTACATAAAGACTGGTGAAGTCACACTTGGAAGGTTCGCCATTGATGATACGATTCCCTCGCAGCTGGAGGAGGACTTCCGCGAATGTCTTGCCCTGCGCCTTATAGTCAGTGAGCACAACAGCGGGGACGACGGGCAAGCCGCGGCGGCTGCATTTTGCAGGCAAGAACCTGAAGTTGCGGTTGGACGGATCGAGGGTTTGTGAGACCGAGCGAACAAGGATTGTTTCTGGTGGCAGGGCGGGGATAGACAAGCCCTTGGTATCTTTAGACTGTAAGAGGATGCCAAGTGGTGGCCCGAAGTGGATAGTCACGTCGTCGGCAAGGTGGTATCCTGGGTACTTTGGGTCGGGTATGAAGTCGGCGGCGACAAACTCGGCCCCGTTTACGACCTTCAGGCCGGTGTAGATGTTCTGGTTCACAATCACGGGCATGCCTTGGGCATAGAAAAAGACACCAGGAACCTTGCAGGTGGAGTCATCCCCTTGCTCGATAGTCCTGGCGATTTGATCTTGTGACAGCGTGCCACTTCGCCACGTATGTGCGGAGATGAAGATGGAGATATGTCTCTTGCGAGAGCGAGCCCAGTCGACGACGGCTTCCATGTTGAGTGACCAGCGGTTCCGGTTCAGCGGAGTTATGGCACGTAAGCCCGTACTGAAGGTGATTTGGGCGCGGTCGACGAGTTTTGTGTTGAGCATGAGTAGGTCCTGCTGTGTCTGGGCTCCAGCCCGTACTCTATCGAGAAGAGCGCTCAGTTGAGGATCATCTCGCGCACGAACCTGCTCTTCGAGAAGTACTACCGTTTTGAATATCTGCCACAAACTGAAGCCGCGATGGTGAGAAATGGTTCCCTGTCCCAGTGGGATGGAAGAAGGGTTCATCGTCTTGTTCACCAGGAGACTTGTCTCTCGAACTGGAGCGAACTGGTAGAAGTCCCCCATTAGGAGCACGACGGGAATCCCGCCGAAGGGCTTATCGGCACAGTCTCGGAGTGACTGGAGGTTGCGGCTGACCTCATAAAGGGTGGCGCCTCCGAGCATGCTGACCTCATCTGTCACAAGAACCAGTTTTTGTTTCCACGTCCACTTTTTCGCCTCGGAGAAAACTGGGAGTTGTGTTTGGGGGGAGCGGTGGGTGTCAAGTCCGCAGGCAGAATGCAAGGTTGTGCCGCCGATCTGGGCCGCCGCGCTCCCTGACGTCCCCGTGATCTGAAGAAGATGTGATTGGCCTCTCGTCAAAAATACCCATTTCAAGGCATCGATGACCCTGGATTTGCCCGTACCCCAGGGCCTCCGGTGTACTGGAGATGTTGACCCGCCGAATCGGGGTCGGCGGAGTACTTATCCAAGAACTCCCACACAAGCTGGAGCGCCATTGTCTGTAGGGAGTTGAGGGTAAAGCCTGACGCGGCAAGGCGTCCTAGTTCCGCGAAGCCCGTTGCATGGTTGACGTCGACGAGCATTCGAGGGCCCTGTTCGACTAGCTCTGGACGTGGACGTGGCATGGAGATGTCCGCCTCACAGTGTCGAACAAGGATGTCATCCAGGTCGTCGGTGCTCGTAGTGGGTGCGGCTCCCTGGGAGCCACTCTCGATTTCATCTAGCATGCGGAGATGCAGCATACCCTGGGCCTTTGCTGCGGCCTGCACATCTTGATGAGAGAGAGTCGGGTATTGGGATAGCGCGCTATCCTGGGAACGGCGAATTTGCTGATAGAAGTCCTGATGACGCTGCACGAAAGGCCGCTGCTCTTCTGCAGGGTTTTCATGGCGTAGATCCCGGACCAGGCCCTGTAGTACTGGCGAGTCCCTCGTGGCTTCTGAGTTTCGCACAGCGTTGTGTATGGCTTGGAGGAGCGCTGCGTAGTTTTGTTGATGTTCGGCCGTTGTTGCAGGCTCTTCACGATAGTCGCCCTCATCAAGAGGGAACTCCACGTCGACCGTATCATCACCTTCCGACCTGCTGGCCCAAAGCTTTGCGTCTTTCCGCGCATCCTCCGCCGATCTTCTCAGAAGGGAGATGTGGAGGCGTGGGATCGCAAACGGGGTGGGAGTGCGGCGGCGTGGTTCGTCCATATGTCGGTGATGTCCCCGTGAGTCTTGGAGAGGAAGTCATCCCAGGGCACGAACAAGGCCAGGTGGAGGACAGAGTTTCTAGGCAGGTCAGTACTGGCTTGGAATCAGCATGGCGGGCTTCGGAGGATACCGCCTAAAGTAGACTGGGTGCTCGTCTTTGTGATCGTCGCTGATGTATCCCTAGAGGATTGGCACCGCGTACTCGAGGGGTTTTCGAAGCTTCTGGATCCAATTCTCAGATTCTTGAGAGGGACCGTGAAGAGCAAAGTGGGTCTCATCCTCTTCTCGGTCGCGACGACGCTCGAGGCTAATCATGGATATGTAGTCATACAGGCATAGACCTCTGAGAAGCGGACCTCGGTAGGCGTAGGCATCCAGAGACAACAACGTCCGACCGCTTTCTCTGAGGCCTATCGTCTCAGGTGGCTCGTCTGTGTCAGTGTCCTCTCCAGACTGGCGACGAAGATGCAGCCATCGTCGGAAGATGGACCAATACAGGGCTGTGAGGTTGATGAAAGACCATCGTGGCACGTTGGTAAAGTCGGTGTGGAAGCCGAGCAGGTGGTAACAGACCTCCACGGCCGAGAGCTGTCTATCCGAAAATATCCGATTTGCCGTCCTCATTAAAAACTGTCGGGTTTGGTTGAGAACGGCCGAGGCTTGAGCGTCACGCTCTGGAGCCGATGCCTGATGCGTACCATCTGCTGACTGGTGTAGATGTCCCAGGACTTCGCCTGCGATGACGATGCGCTTCCACATCGGCGTATCTAACTTGGTGGCGTAATTCGTGATGTAAAAGATCATGGCCAGCCCCTTGGTCCTCGTCAAGATCATTGAGATGTCGTGGTTGTGGCGGAGCCCGACCGCCATGGGCTTGTTGTACCGGTTCACCAGCGGATGGTTGCGGCGGGTCTTGAGCAGGCCGTCCTCCGAGAAGCCCGTCTCCTGGACAATCTTCCACGGCGCTTTGAAACGGCAAGCCGTCCGCCGGTTTTTTCCCCCATCCTCTCCGGCCGTCCCCTTCAGAGAGTACTTGATGCAGGTAAAGGTGTGGGCATGAACCTGGCTGCAGTACGCAATGTAGTTGGACTCGGCCTCAAAGGCGGTCGTAAGAGCTTCGGCGCTGTTCATCATCTCCTCGACAGGCTGGATTGGTTTTCTTTCCTTCCGGATCGCCTGTCCAGCCTTCTCATCCAGGCATTCGTGAAAGACAGAGTCAACATAACGAGCCACTCGGGCCCGGTACTCCTCTTCCTGGGGATCAGCCATGTCGTCGCAGAGCGATGGCAATTGCAGATTCCCGTGGAGCCAGAGCAGTCCATGCAGGTGGAGGCTGCCTCGGTCATTCGTTTCTACCGTTGCATAATAGTGACTGATTTTTCCAAAAACTGATTCCTTGCCTGCTTTGACGTAGTGGTCGAAAAACAGGGAAATCTCACGGTGGAAGAAGATGACGGAGCTGACCGGATCCAGAGTGCTCAGGGCGATCCTGTCATACCGTCCTTGAAGATCGGTGAGCAGCTCCTTCGCCATGTCGTAATCATGTAGCCTGTGGATTGAGAGTCTCATCTTGACGGGGTTGTTGATGTCGTTAGGGTTGATGGTAAACCAAATCGCAGGCGTGCCCGTCCAAACGATGAGTGACTGTATCTTCCTCCGCATCAGCAGCCGAGTCTCATTCGAGAGAGGTTGGGCGTGCCCAAAGATGGATAGCTCTCGGAGCAAGAATTATATGTCGGGGTCAGTCGTCGTCCTGTTCTGGCGCATCTCGTCCTCGGCTCTTCTCAGTTGGTCCGCAGTCAGGCTTTGATAGACTTGTTCGGCTCTGTCGAAAGAACCCTTTGTCATGCGGACCATGCTGATGCGGCGGTTGGAAGATCGGAGAAGGATGTTGAAGACCAGGAAACAGAACACGGGATGCGTAGCAAACCGGCCGCCGTGTCGCTGGAGCACGTACTTGGCCCAGTAGCTGAGTGAGTGGTTTGGAGGAGGGGTTTGGACAGGCTCCGAGGCACGTTGTTGGTGCTGTTCTGTGTCGGGCGTCGCCTTCGGGCCGCCTTTTCCCCACGGGAAAAGCTTAGGGAACGTCCTCGGGAAGAAGTCTTCGTGCAGGTTGTCGGCAAAGTCGGAGCCCCGCTCCACGCGGATGAACGGCTGTTCTCCCGCAGTCTCTACATCTATGCCGCATGGCTGAGAGTTCTCGTCAGCTCGGTGTCTGTCCGTTTGCATAGCATCTACTAGGAAGGATAGCTTGGCGGCCCCCGAGAACGTGGCAGGCTCGTCAAGAGGGAACATGCCGGAGGATGATGTCTCGTAGACGACATCGCCGCTAGGATCGGTATGGCCCTGGCCACGAACAGCAGTAACGGGCTCTCCAGGTGACGTCTCGAAATGGTGGTGCTCCTCGGCATGAAGTTGCGCAGAGTCGAGAAGTTCTTCAATACTTGTAGACTGGTTTTCCGGTAACCCCCTATCGGTGGCTGGGACGATGTGGTCCGTCTGCGTCTTTTCAGCAATCGAAGGCTCTTCTCGTCGCATCATTTCAAGGATGTCGGTAGGGACGTTGGAGCTATCCTCGTACCGCCAACCGTCTATCTCGTCATGGTTGATCGCGACGTGCTTGTAGAGGGGGTTGTTCTTCTGAAGCCATACCAGAGCATCCCTCACAACGGTCTTG